CTTTTTTTTTTGGAGAATGTCCTAAAGACACTTCAGTCAGTGGCACTGCCCTGGAGAAATGGCGTATAATGGAGTCTTTCACAAAACAGTCTGCATTTACTCATTTACATTGCTGTTATGTATCACGCATGTATTTTGCTGGTCATAACCTAAATGCTAACTGTTGATTCTGCCAGTGTAGTGTGTGTTACACGATTGTCTAACTCCCCACCATGCATTTGGATTTGAAGTGTTTGCCTGACCGTTCGCTACCTCAGAATGACAATGTCCTATCTGCTCAGTGCCTAGTTTAGAGAAATTTGACGTGAACGATTTTGAGTTTCACATCATATCAAGTTTTTTTCGAATACAATTCTTTGAAAATCTTGATTACGTCCCCAAATTAAATGATCTTACGATTTTGATAGGGCAGACAGAATAATTGGTTTCTGACCTTATGGTTTTAGTAACTCAAAATGCCCAAAAATGTCAGATAGAATGTTGTAATTCTGAGGTAGCGAGTTATCGAACCACTGTTTGCAGCGCATGCTCACTGTGGTATTTTGTGCAAACACCTTTTACTTCAGCAAACATGCAGTAATAGCATGGAGAGTGTGCGGTGTGTTGTTCTACAATGGAAAAAAAAAGAAAACGAGTTTTGCAATCCGAGAGCGCCAAGATTTACCCACGATTTAGCACGGCCTTGCGATTTTTCGCGATGACGAAGTTACGCTGGCTTGTGTATATGATATTAGTGTGAAACTGTCAAGGTGTAAACGAATGTTTGTGTGCTTGTATGTATGTGTGTGTGTGTGTGTTTGTGTGTGTGTGTTTGTGTGTGTGTGTGTGTGTGTGTGTGTGTGTGTGTGTGTGTGTGTGTGTGTTGGTGTGCTTGCATACGAATTTTCTTATACATGTACATGTATTTTAGAGAGAGAGTTGAGAACAGGGCAAAGAGCTGAAGGAGGACGAGAGAATTTTCTAAAGTGATTCGAGAAAAATGATAGGTAAAGAAAGACACATTTAAAGAAAAGAGATGAAAGGGTATGCCCGGGGGGAAATAAAGATGAGAAACAGAAAGAACACGGAAGGAAGAGTCGGTTCGTTTTTGTTTCTTTTGTTTTTTGCTGAATTTTCCCTCCTTTTTTAATTGCAAGGTGAGCGGGTTCATGTTTCTTCCCCACGGCACGTGTTCTTCCAGACGGGATGCCAGCAACGGGGATGGGAGGGGGGGGGTGCTTTAAGAAAGACGAACAAATCGAGAGTTTCCTTCAGTTCGGTTTCTGAACTTACACATTCAGCTTTTCTGAAACAGACCTGGATTTTACCCCCATCTACTTGATACAAGGTGCATTCATTAAAGGCGTCTGTGGCCTTAGTGGTTACGCTGCCGGATTCGCAATCGTGAGTTAATGGGTTCAGGGGTTCGAGCCGCAGGCCTGACGTTATGTCCTTGGGAAAGGCACTTTACCCGAATTTCTCTCACTTCACCCAGGTGGAAATGGGGACTCGGCCATAGGTAGCGGAAGATCTTATCAGTATGTTAGTGTTTTAGCGCCTATAAATGGCCGCTTGCACTGTATGCTTCCCTGGAAGGTGGGGTTATTTCAGAGTGCTCTCAGGTCTGCTGGGGTAATAGTATAGATTGTGAAGCGCTTAGAGCTTGCTGTTGAGCGGGGATTTTCACAATAAAATGCTATCTATTAGATTCATAAATTGTGCCTCCCCCCC